CTTTGTAATTGTTTAACTAGTTGTACTGTAGTCCAGAATATCGCACATAAAATCGCCTGTGTGTGTGTGCGAGGCAGCCTCCAAGACAAGAAGGGCTAATCAGCGGAGCGTGGGGGGTGAGGAGGGGGAGGATGAAGGGGCCAAGTTAGCGATTTAATTAGCGTTTGTCGCACAGTTTTCTGGATTATTGTTGATTGCTCGCGTTAATGACTTGGTCTTGCTTGTAAGCTATAATTAGTTGGAAGAGCGAGGGGTAAAGGGGGTAGTTTCATGTCCCATTTGTCACTTTGAGCTGTATTCATGCCGCTCGCAATAGAATTCGTATAAAGCAACGGCGTAACTTTAATTGTCTGATATTAGATTCCAAGGACTAAAGACTGACCAAAGGTAAAAGAGGTAATTGGGGCTGACGAGGGTCTTGCCTCACTCGATTATTCGCCTTTTAATAATTCCTCGATGGACCTTTGACCGTCTGACCGGTAATTTTTCCTCGGATCAAAGTAGTCGGTAATTGTTGCCTTTGAGTTAATTACCACTTTGTTCTTGGGTTCGTGTTAACCGACTGTCGCTCGATCGGTTCTTTAAACATGTACGCTTGCCGCGATCAATGTTTGTTCTTACATTAATTAGTATAACAGTTCTAATTCAATATTTTTTATGAAGGATGTGTATAACTTTGATGCAGAAACAAGGATGCATCATGTTTTCATGTTTGTTAATTATACAAGATTATAAACATATATATTTGCATACAATCCGAAATTTAGCTTATTTTTATAAACGATTGGTACTAAAGGATGTTATTTGTAAAATAAATTTTCGGTTGATGTAGATACTGTGGTATAGTAGTTGCAGTCCAAATAAGTTACAAATTCGTATTTAGAAACTGATGCATCAATGTATTGGCCTAATAATTAATTATAACAGTACTTGTAAGTGTGACATTTTTTCGATGATGACTTCTTGCGTATCAAAAATGCAAACAAAATGAAGTTGGTTGTTAATAGAAATCAGCAGAAAAATACATTGTAAACATCGAAGTTTTTCTACTAAAAGAATACGCGGTACGCACTAAAAGAATACGCACATAAACTATTTTAACATTATTATTAATCAATAAACCTTAAAATAGGACGTATTATATTAAAAACAGGCAACGGTAAACAGAAGATAATTTAAACATTTTGAAGTTTTTACGTCTGACTTAATTACGGCGAATCCACCTCCAAAGTTTAAAGTTGGGCAAACATACCCGTAAACGAAGATCGCTAATTAACTCTTTAATTACAAAAACTGATCTAAGTAATTGACGTTCTGCCAATTAATTAATGTAAACTTCGCTTCCAAATTGTTACAAATAAAGAACATTTTAGAATACTTAAGTGTGAGAGTGTAATGGTTTGTGATGCATCGTGTTGTTTATTCGTTATATATTTTACCTACGACAGTTTTTTTTAAAGTAGCCGTTTACTGAAACGTATATTAACGTATATTACTGTTATGTTCTTTACAGTTCTTAGAATTGAAAAGCATCTCAAAACAACATTATTTACTTTCATAACAGCATAGTTTTACTCATAACAACACGGGTAACGGACCAATGAGGTTCAAGGATTAAAAGTGGAGAAGTAAAATTGTAATGATTGGAATTTCAACTTATCAGCTGTTCAGGCCAATTTAATTGTTGATTGGTGCAATTGGTGTTTGGTACAATGTTTCGCTGTATCACTGTCAGTGGCAATGAGAGGTTATAAACGAAAACATAACCTCTCTTAAAAACTATGAGTAGTGATTTTTAGTATTTAAAACACTGTCGTAGGTAAAGTAGTGTACGCAACTTGCGTAAATAGTGTTAACGACACTCGTAGAAGTTTTTAAGGCACTCTCCTTACCATTACATCATCATTGTATTGTACTGATTTGTATGCATAGTTCTGATTATGGTGTAAAATGTATAGATTTGCATACAGTTTTCAGCGTATCCGAAGAAACAAATAGTGCACGGTGACATGAGTAAAATCAATGTTAGATTCTAGATAGTATTTTAGGTTTACTTCAATAAGCTAGGTTTTTCAATTTATTAACCAGAACATCAATGTGTTTTTGTAAAGTAAAATTCAATAAATGTAACACACACACTATGTTTCAGATGTTACGGGCGCCTGTATTTTAAAAAGATTTATATTTTAAACCAAAACTGTTTATTCAAATTGTTTTGTCTCTTAATGATTTTCCACTCGCCTGAATTTATAATATTTTGTATTTTTTTGGTATGTTAAAATCTGTTGAAACAAATCCACAAATTTACAAAATAATTCAGTCTCAACTTTTTTTTGTACCCCCGTGTTAAACGTAGTTTTCGTAAAAAAACTATTTAACGACGAAATTTTAGCCTAATCTAAGAATTTCTTTTAAGAAATTTGTTGTCTGTTACAATTTCCAGTGTCCAACTTTGGCGATTTTGTAAATTCCCCTTTAAATTATTTACTTTTTAGATTGTAGTACATTTTTAAATAAAACCGGCAACATAAACTCAAATACGACAAACCCTTTCTTTAAAAATCCAACACCATAGTAGTTGTAAAGTACCACAGTAAACGCTCATAAATGATTCACCATTTTCATGATGAATTAAACAGCGATCGCCTAAGACAAACAGATCGAACGAAGCAGAAAGCTAACATTACAACTGATCAGAATGGCCAACTTTACAGCACAAAATCCGCCTTATTTTGCGTTGATAGGTTGGTAATAGTGCAGGTGTGATGGCTATTAATGGAACATTGATCTATAAAATGTGTATCAATTGGCTAAAAGCCGCGACCGCTTTTCGTATTTAATTGCCCATCGCATTAGTCTGTCACGGCAAATATTTTGCGATCGCACTTTCACGAAACTGTCACTGTTTTGAATGCTTGGGTTTTTGTTGGATTTGTTTTTGGTTGTTTTTTGTATTTACTGAACAAATAAATAAAAAAATTCAAGATACAATTAATCTTTTTTTCACCACACTATCATGTTTTTGGCTGTATTACATACGTTAATTGGTGGCCGAAAGTTACGTTTTGCTGGCGATGCCAGCTGTCCATAATTTGGGGACCGAGCAGGTTTTTACAGGCCGGGGCCGCAAAATCAGCTGTCCGCTTACTTACTTAAAACATGAATGCATTTTAAATACATAATCAAAATCCATAGCATTTCAATAGAATTGTGTTATTGTCACCGTTGCCTAGCAACTATATATTTTTATTTTTGCTGATTCCTCAAATTATTTCTTCACATAACCTTAAAGTTGTAGTTGTGTTGACTATCAGTGTGCATTATTATTGTGGTGAATAGTGGTAATAGGGTATAGTGTGGTGAAAAATAGCGTTCGTACCACGGACCGAAATGGTTTTGCGGCTCTCGATCGATTTAAGTTCTCGACTTCGTCTCGAACTTAAAAACTATCTCGAGCCGGCAAAACCTCATTTTCGGCCCTAGGTACGAAATATACTATTAATAATATGCTTCCTTTTCCAAGTTGTGTGAGAGTAACTTTCATCTTGTTTGAAAAAACACATTTTTCCACACACATTATATCTGGATTATAATTAAATATTTAAAATTTTAAACCCTTTTAAACACTTTGTGGTGTTTTAAATTTTTAGCACAATCCAATTACATTTTAAATAAAAACGCCCTAAACTATGAAAATACACATTAAGCTAGTAAACTTATTTGACATTCATAAGATGATACTTAATTCATTTCTCGTATGTTTCGTGTATATAGTAATCCTAGAACAAAATTGGTCGCATAAGTTTAACATTGTAACTTTTTAAACCTGTTAGAGATCTAGGTGGCTGTATAACGATCGGGGGAAAATTAATTAATAGGAAAATTGATTTTAGAACGTTTCAACCAAGTTTTTAGAATCAGAATCCTTCTAAAGCGTCTTTCATAACTCTTATAAAATATATCAACACGTATGTTTCATCAGGTGGTGCTTTTTTTACCTATTTACATTGAACAAACTACCCCCAGTCTTTACTTGCAAAGCCAGTGTTCAGCCCTTGTAAAGGGGTATAATTGAGTATTGTACAAACATAAAGGGCTTTGTCTTGCAGTGTAAGTCAGTTATTCCAACGGACAATGAGGCTAGTAACGCACTTACCTTTAACATTTCATGAGGCTCTTTAACCCTGCAATAATGTAAACATCACTCCAAAGCAATTATTTGCGTATATTCCTTGTAAATAGCTAGTGCAGTAGTTGTATGGCAATGTAATTGAGTTGTGATGGTCACAGCTAACATTACTAATATAATTAAAAATTTAAGTTTTACATTTTTTTAACTGTCATCGGGTTATTTTTAAATGCTTTGTGATAATGACTTTAACTTTTAAATGGGTCAAACAAAATATTTATCGCTGGAATGAATAACAATGATTTAAGCCATAACTTAGCGGTGAAGTTTGTTAATTGCGTGTTTAATAAAACGAATATTTCTACGCGTTTTGTTTCCTAAAGTTTGTGACCCGTTCGATTAAATACGAAAAATTAAAAAGATGTTTAGGATTTCTGGATGGTATTTTTTTTTTTTTTTTTTTTAAATGTCATGATTTTATGCAACATCAATTCAATAATGCTCTGGCGTATTACCTTTATGTTTAAAATTTACCAGAAGACATTTGGTTCTACGTTCTACCCCTTTTGTATTTATTTTACCACCTTTAGAATGACTAAAGTAAAAGTAAAAACAAAACTAGTTCAAGTATTTAATCAAGAAATCTTTTTTGTCAGCACCTCTTACTAGTACAGTGTAGTTGGATGACTAAAACTGAATTTGGAGGATATTTGCTAACACATGCATTATTACACATGTATTATTTCCACATACAATTTTGTTGAGCGTTTTTTTACATTTTCCACAAAATGCTGAATATTTTTCAACCAAATGTATATCCTTTTATTTCAAATATATTTCAAGTGTTCTAACAGCATTTTTGTTGTTTCAGGATCGGTGGTGCCGCCGTTTTGAGAGATCCTCGGTACATTGGACCATGTACATAGTACATATGGTGGCCACCCCGATGTACATTGTACATAGTGGTCTCATAGACCGATGTACATAGACGCCGCGTCCGTCGTCCAATCGTTCTTCAGCACTTGATTTCCTCAGAGAATTGTTTAAATAACATGTTAGCTGTTAAATTGATCCACCGAAATGTCAACACTTAGACACGTCGAGTAGTTGATTCTAACTGTCCAATCGGAAATTATTGCACAGTCTCTTGATGATATTGTTCTGATTACCGATCAGTGTAGCTTTAAATTACAACAATGTTTAGTGTTTAAATTTTATAAGGTGTAAATTTTAAGAGTCTTTACCTATCCAACTGTGCGATTTATATCTTGGAGGTTCTAACTCAACTCAGGGACAAAAAATTAAAATTAATAACCGAAGTTACAATTTATGGTAAACATACATTAAGATCACACTCATTCAATTATATATTGTCCTTGTGAATCAGATGATGACAATTATTATACTGTGTTATTGTCCGGTAGCTCATGGATACGTTGATATCATAAAAGTTATTTTACTAACGAAATCTAAATCTATTACAAATAAATAGGCTACAATAACTTATTCAATAATTGGAAACTTCTGATGTTTTTACTCATACATCTTTATTAAATACTAAAGCAAAGACTGTTAAATTTTCCCAAAATGACAGAAATATCTCGTAAATATAAACTTAATATGACGTCATCAGAAAAACATGCTTCTGAATTTACAATATATTTTACAATAAATAACCTTACACCAACATTGTTTGTTTAACGTCAAAGTCAAAGCTATAATTTATCACAAATTATTGTTTAAAATCATGGGTGCCAGAAATTGATTCCATATTTTAATGAAGGCTATCAAGGAAACATATTGTTATTTTTCTTCTGCTTTATCAGGACAATATAAGAAACGGACAAAGACTCTTAAGATTTTAATGTTAAAGTGATTATTGTACTTAGTTATTTATATACACTAAGGTAAAAATTCCTTACTCTAATGACAATTTGTACTTAAATTTTACGAAACGTCTGTGGCTAATCAAATATATTTTTTGTGATAATGGTTTAAAGCAATATGATTGTGATGCATTTCAAATTGTTTGGATATTTCTCAGAATTCTCATCTAAAAAAATCTTTCATGATGTGACTAAGATAAAATCGTAGTTTTAAGTAACCTTTCATAGAGGTTGTAATTTTTAATTGACGTTCATTCGAGTTAGCGTAAATACGGCATCAAACCCCATTTGTAATGTAATGTTCAACGATGGATGATGTTAATTCGTTTTATTATATGTCTATTTTGAGATGTCTTCATCTTAATGTTGGAATTTCGTTTGTAAAGTATTCTTGAGAATTTACGCAAGTTTTCTCCGACTGTGGTGTATTGTACATAGTCCGCTGCAAGCGTACTTTGGTTGTGTTGTTGATTTTTGTTATTGCAACACTGCATATATTTATTTGTTTGTTTTTATTAACTTTGTTGAGGTTTGTCATTTGAGTTGTTGTTATTGGTCCGACTCATTCGGAAAGAACAAGCAATTTAGTCCAATTGATTACAGTATTGTTTAGAAGTGTTCGATTTCGTTTACAGAGGAATACCGTCTGGAAATTTTGTACTTAACTTAGTGTTAGTTTATTTATACACAGTATTTTTCATATTGTTTTATTCAAGCTGCCACTACCATCTATGCATAGTCTAAGAGCCAATGGCCTACTGATACGATTTGCACACATCTATGTCTTCACGACTTTATTTGATTGGAGTTTTCATGTAGTTTTTTTTATCTCATTAGTGAACGGTTTAAACTCCTCCAGGTCCAGAATCGATCTCGCTCGGTATTGAAATAATATCCTTCATATTTTAAGGTGAGAACCATATTTACGTACTCGACTATCCTGTCAGTATGACAGTACATAGAGACGTAGGACGAGTAGTTCCGTTTCAGAAGATTAACCCACACAAAAATGATCATAGCGTTGCTTAATGGTAAATATATTTTAATCCTCAGTTATCAATTCTTTCGGGACAGCGACGCACTCTTAGTTGTATATTTTAAGCTGGCTAAAAAAAAGTTGAGTGTATCATGGAGTAAGATAATCAGTTGAAGCTCCGATGATCAAGGACGGCAAACCCAGTTCGAACTATCAAAACGCTCTAAGGACTTTCCTAAGCATCAAATTCTAATTCTAAATATCATATTTATGTATTTTGTTGATTACGTGTAACCTTTTTCAATTTTTTTTCCTAAAACAGTCTGTTAGTTGTACGGAGAGTTGATATTTTTTAAGAGGTTGGCGGCCTCTTTTAACCTTGCATTTGCCCGTCCACATAGACTACAGATCTGTGCGTGGAACGTATCAACTTTGGCTCTTGGACTATCATATCCAGTTACCATGGACAGTGATGAACTGTAACTTTATTCTGTTCACTTATTTGACTCTTGCCCTTTATCATTGTTCTTGCCATGCAGTATATCGCAATCTCGTCAGTATTTCAACAGAAGCAATAGGCGTACAAGGAGCCAAGAACCTGCTCAAACCTTGCAATAAGTTTGTGGCGCTAATCGTAAGAAGTAAGCTAGGAATTGTTAATATGTACATTGCTGTATATTTGTTGATGTGCCCTTGCCCGGTCCCTCATGACTCACAATAAAATGGATATTTCCAGAATCATTCGATGTATTTATTACCTTAATTATCTCCTAGTCGTCTTTAGCTTAGTAGTGTAAGATGGAAAACATTATACACCCTAGACAAAAAAGAAACATCAAAAGCAACGATTATGTTTGTTGCAATGTCTAGCTGTGCTATATAATCATTTACAAGTCTAGTGGTTTGGACTGACTGTTTTCTTGAACGTTGAAAAAAGCTTCCATGAAATTGGAATAGTATAAAGAATAATTTATCAGAAAAAAACATAACATTTTCTGTACTTGTTTGGTTTTTATTATACAATTGCTTTGCGATTAATGCTTAGCAAATACAACAAGCTTATTGTTGTTATTCTTACTATCACAAATCATCACAGATGACTATGAATATGTGCATACTTACATACGACTAATTATACGGCCTAATTAACCCTTCAAATAATACAAATGCATTTTGTTAACATCATTCTTCAAATTTTATAATATGATACAGATAGTGTCACGGTGCGTGGCGCCTCGCTGGAGCATGCGCACTGAGAGCTTTCCCCCACTACGCCTCGATGTACGGTACAGTCACGTTCAAATACTGAATTTGTGAACTAGCATCAGCTGTCAAATTAGTTTACTTTATGTTTACGTTTTTGTATTTTTCTGTCTTTCTCGCACTGCCTACCCTACACGCCAAGCACGGTGAAACGGTCTGTACAAGAATTATGTTTGTGAAGAAGAATTATAAAGTGAAAGAAATAATTTCTGAGAAAAATTTTATTAAATTTCACTGTACTGTAAGAAATATTTTGCTGGAACTACTAATCATTCATGTTCCTTTGCTTCATTATTGTTCCTTTATTGGTTCATGCAGACAATATATTCAAGAGTGCAGAACCTTTTCAAAATCGAATGAATTTCTATCAATATTGCCCAAATGGAAACAAAAACAATTAGTATAACACAGAATTACCTCATAGAAGTGATTTCTTGTTGGAGCAAACGAAATTAGGATAAAAACATGAATGTAATTCTTTTTAGTTCACTTGCTAAACTAAATAATTAACTAACTAAATAACAACTTTGATAACAACTGACGTAAGCCTCTTACATGAACTTGTTATCCATTAAAACCCCGACGGGGGACCCATGGAAATTATAATTCAGGAGGTCTGAAGGTGCAGACCAACCATTAAGGCGGGGACACACTTGTCATACACTCTTCCGATCCTACTACGATCCGATTTGCGGGATTCCAGAAGGATCGGTGCGGGATCGGAGAGGGTGAACACACATGTCATACACGCTTCCGACCCATGCCCGATTTCCTCCACCGGTCGATCAACACTTGCCTGTCTGATTTGTAAACTACGTGCAGAAGGTGGTAAACATGCTCAAAAACTTTGGACTTCGGGATTCAGCCATGATGGCGGTTTGTCTAGACGAAGAGGAAAAAAGTCAGACATCTCTGAAGGGCAGTGGAAAACGAAGAATTTGGGTTCATTCTGTATGGAAAGAAAGTTAGGTGGTTTACTTAAGTGTCCATCTTATATATTAAGCACATTGGGTTTTCTCTCTCGAGTTCGTTTGGCTCTTCTACCCGTCCGATTTTCATGATCGAGGTCTCAAATTGAAGGTATGCACGCACAGATTTCACATCAAGCATCGGCATATATTTATCTTAAACCATTATTCTTAAATCTTAAGAATAAAGGTGATTTTTAAGAAACAACCCATCCTGCATCCGACAAACGAATAGACTGCAGTGTCGGTGCGTGATCGGAACCAAAATCGGAGTAGGATCGGAGTATGACATGACGCGTGTCGGAGAGGTGTGAACAACCGCGTTCAATGTTATGTACCATTCCCCTCTCCGACAGTCGTACCGCAGTATGATCGGAGTCGGATCGGAAGGGTGTATGACAAGTGTGTCCCCGCCTTTATGTTAGCCAAAGCCCTGGGCTTGGATGTAGTTGTGGTTCACAAAAGGCACATAGAAGGAGGAAGAACAACTTTAGTTTTATTATTTCTGAATTATTTTTTGATTCTGTAATGGTAAGGTAAATAGTAAAAAGCTCTGTAGATACTATCCTTTTTAAATATTCTTGATAAAATATAAATATTACTTAACGGAGTATTCAATTGTATCCAAAAATGAAAGTTGCATGTTAATGAATTCACAAGGGTACAGTTATTTTTAAATATCGTCTTATAATTAATTGTTTTTCTAATCTCCGTTCCATTTGAACAATATTACGGTACAATAGGGCAATGCAACTGGGAAAAATTATAATGATAATAAAATAAAATATTAAGAAATGTCACAAACCCTTGAAGGGGAAATATAATTAAAGTAAAATCTTGAAGTCTACACATATTTCAAACTTGCGTAAGTAGAGATAGAGTATTTTTAGTTGAACATGGTTATAGAAATAGTTTATAACCAATGACACACAAGATTACGAAGTAGAAGTAATAAAATAGATTTAAGATCTCTCAAAATCATTCTGGACTCAGAATTGAATTGTTGATGATTAACAAATCCTTGGGATAGAATCAGCTGACTTGTTCTGCATACAATCCAAGAGGAACGTGCAAACATATCAAACATTCAGCAATGACATTTGACTGTTTGGTTATTGAGTTTACACAAGAGAGCGAGACTTAATTATTTATAGAGACCAATTTAGCAACTGCAAGCCAAGTCTTTGCGAATATTATTCCGCCATTCAGCAAAATGTTTAAACGTTTGTGTAGGTGTAAATACATTATGGCTAGTTTAGGTTTTCATTGTTGTAATGTATGATTTGAAAGCATATTTTTTTCATTATAGGTAAAATATTAGTTAAACTAATTTGGGTAAATATAGACTTTGAGTCTAATATTGGTAGCATTGTAGCTTTGTAGTAGAAATAAATTGTTCCACGTTGCACCATATATTAAACTCTGATTGTAAGATTGATAATCAGTACCATGTGGTTAGACCCCAAATGAACATTTTATATCTGGCCAGATCTCCAAAACAACACTTAATACCAACTCTCTAGTCTACATCTTGCCACAAATCTAGATCTAGCTTACTGCTTTGGAAAACTCTAAAACACATTTAAGAATAAGTTGATATTGATTCATCTGTTTTTGGTTTCAACTCTTGATGTTCCGGAAAGCAGCTCGGGAAGCCCCAGCTTCGACATCGGGTGGGTAAAAAAATACCACCATCTATCTACAGTTGAATTAGAGTTCATGTTGGTATGTACTGACAACATTTAGATCTCATCAAGGGGTTTAATCACCCAAACAGATTTACCAAAAAAGACGTATTCTACATACACTTTCGTAACCAATAACAAAAAATAGCTTTCTCGATTGCAATCACGCCCCCCCCCCCTACATTTCCACAATAGAATTGCGTACTTAAATTTATCATTCTTCAGCATCACACTTCCACCTAGTTCTCGCCTATTTGTTCCATCAATCGATCTATCTTCTATCTAAATACTTAATACAACATGCGTTTTCACTGTAACATCCCTTTTGTAGCCGTCCTACTAAACAGATTTTTACGATTAAGGGGTCATTTTAAAGCTTATGATCTAGCGCACCTGCGAATAGAAATTACAAATGTAATTTCCTTTAGGGTTTTGTCATCTTCAAGTTTAAGTTATTTCTAGAGTCGATTTTCAAAGATTGCCATTTTTAACATTCCAACAGTTGTATGCTGACCAACTTACTTCATAATGGTTTCAATGTGATTTTTAATCTATCAGCAGTTCCTAAGAATAGATAAATGTTTAACCACAGTGATATTGTAAACAAGATACTAAGAAGTTAATAACTTTTGCAAACAAACATAATCTTGAAAAGTAAGTCCGGTTTTGCAATGGATATATTTTGCCTCTGAATCAGAATTCAGTTTTGAACCAAATTACACTTCGCAATTTCGGCATTGATCTCCTTGTAATTTACTATGTCACTTACACTGCAGCAGATTATTTATTTTGTATAAGCTAATAGTAGGCTCTGGCCCATTTTACTTCTTCTCATTACATTTATTCTAATATTAATAGGTATGACGTACCGAACATTAAAACCTAACACAGAGACTTCTCTCTCCCACCATTAAATATTCCTCTCATCAGTCTACTTATTTCTCAAACACCAACCAAACCTGAGACACACAGTAGACACGTATTCTCCCTCCCACCACCAGATATCGCCATCAGTCTACTTACATCTCAAACACCAACCAAACCTGAGACACACAGTAGACACGTGTTCTCCCTCCCACCACCAGACATCGCTCTCATCAGTCTACTTACATCTCAAACACCAACCAAACCTGGGACACACAGTAGACACATGTTCTCCTCCCATCACCAGATATCGCCATCAGTCTACTTACATCTCATACACCAACCAAACCTGAGACACACAGTAGACATGTGTTCTCCCTCCCACCACCAGACATCGCCATCAGTCTACTTACACCTCAAACACCAACCAAACCTGAGACACACAGTAGACACGTGTTCTCCCTCCCACCTCCAATTATCGCTCTCATCAGTCTACTTACACCTCAAACACCAACCAAACCTGAGACACACAGTAGACATGTGTTCTCCCTCCCACCACCAGACATCGCCATCAGTCTACTTACATCTCATACACCAACCAAACCTGAGACACACAGTAGACACGTGTTCTCCCTCCCACCACCAGACATCGCCATCAGTCTACTTACACCTCAAACACCAACCAAACCTGAGACACACAAGAGACACGTGTTCTCCCTCCCACCACCAATTATCGCTCTCATCAGTCTACTTACATCTCAAACACCAACCAAACCTGAGACACACAGTAGACACGTGTTCTCCCTCCCACCACCAATTATCGCTCTCATCAGTCTACTTACATCTCATACACCAACCAAACCTGAGACACACAGTAGACACGTGTTCTCCCTCCCACCACTAGATATCGCCATCAGTCTACTTACATCTCAAACACCAACCAAACCTGAGACACACAAGA